ATATTTGAGTTCCAATTGACAGGGGTGGCAAATAGTTATTTGTTGATTGCTTTGTGGATTAATCATTGTACAACTGGAGAACTTACTGGTGAATGCACACAACTAGGAAGGATGAATGGAAGGTAGTTGGAATTGCAAGTTCCTGCATGTTTGGCTTTTATGGGTCAGAAAATGATTACAGATCACGTTTCTTAGAACGCCGATGCCTTCTGGTTCTTCAGGGAAACAAAGAAAATTCTTTCTTGCATTTTTAAAAATTTTTTTAAAATTTTTAAAATCTTTCTTGCATTTTTAAAATTTTTAAAAATTGTATTTTGTTGAAATGCCATCAGACATAGGACATTTAGATAGGACCAGAGTTTGACTATGGTGAGGATATTTAGATACGACCAGAGTTTGACTATGTTGCATCCTGCTCCTAAGTCCTGGGGCTCCTTTGCCTCAGAATATGTATCAGTCAACACATTTAACTTATTAAGAACGGCTTGTTGTAACTTTACTAGATGTTCAGTTGTTCACAAAGATGCAAAGCTAACATTTTTAAGAGAGCGATGAAGGTGGAACAGACGTGAACAGCAAGCTGCAGGGAATTAAATGCTGGTAGGGGTTTTACAAGTTGCAAACTAAGAGGAAGGAGTAGGAGTTTGAGAAGGTAGAGTAAAATTTTCTTGAAAACAATGAAGATAATGGCTTTCAGATTTTAAAAACAAAGGGAGATTATCTGTCCTTTTGACTCTATCTAATTGAAGGCTCTTGAAAGGTATGGGTGCCTTTACAAAAAATGCTCACAATGTGGATTGGCATTGACAAAATAGGAAATTAATTTTTTTAGTCAGTTGTATGCATTTAAGAAGTCCCCCATTCCCATGCTCCAGTTGGGATGCTAGTAACTTCGTAATGAATAGATGAAAATATGCATTTAGGAATTTTAATGAAATGACCTTGAAGTCTTAAATAACATATTTCTTTAATATAATGTGATGGCTTTGAAAAAGATGAATTTTTTTTTTTTAATTTGAGGTGGTCATTTTCTAAGGAATAGCTCTCAAGAAAATGGTTTTATTATCTCTTTTGACATGTCAGTGGGTTTTGTATTGGAAGAGCAAAACTTCTCTGAGACCAAAGAAAATCATGTCCCCTTTTGTTATAAACCTTTTGTGATTAAATTATAATTAAATTTGGCCATGAAAAGAAGGATAATAGTTTGTGAATAGTGTATAGGACTAACAAGATTGCAAGAGAAATGATTGGACTCCGTAAGACAAATTATTTTGAATACCCTTGAAACTGTTTTAATAACAATCATAAGAACTAATTGTTCTAACAGCAAATAAGTGTTCTAATCTCTATGCAAGCTACAAATTATACATGAGCCATGGAATAACGGTGCCAAAGTGGACCCTAGTGCTCATCTCATGACCAGATTTGTACTTGACCATTGAAGGAACCAAGTTCGCTCAAAAACATGCATATGAGGGCTGCCTGGGTGGCTCACTTGGTTAAGCTTCCAACTCTCGATTTCAACTCAGTCATGATCTCGGGGTCGTGGATCAACGTTGGGCTCTGCACTCAGTGGGCAGTCTGCTGGAGATTTTCTCTCTCCCTCTCCCTCTGCCCCTCCCCCTCCACTTGTGCACTAAAAAAAAAAAAAAAAGAAACATGCATATGAAAATAATGAAACATCTAAAAATATATCTTGCAGTTGAACTTCTGCTTTTTTTTTTTAATAATTTTATTTATTTATTTGAGAGAGAGAGAGAGCACAAGCAGGGTGAGGGGCAGAGGGAGAAGCAGGCTTCCCTCTGACCAGGGAGCCCGATGTGGGGCTCGATCCTGGAACTCCGGGATCATGACCTGAGCCAAAGGCACACGCTTAACCGACTGAGCCACCCAGGGGCCCCAAACTTCTGCTTCTTCATACCAGTTTTCACATCTGTTCTGTGCTCGTGTCTGTGTTCCAGCTCCTTCTCCTGGTATGATGTTTGTTTATTGAGAAAATGCTACTTACAGTGGTTGCTCTGTATGAGATCCTGACCCAGGCATGATGAGGTTCACGAAACATAGTCCCTGTCTGCAAGGAGCTCATGTTGCAAGTGGAGGGAAGACCCACGCACAGGAACTGAGGCATCCAATAGAACCACATGTGAACTCCACAGGAGCTCCGAAGTCAGTAGAATTTCATGGAAGGAAGGATCACTTGTAGCCTGCATTAAAGGAGAAAAATATAACAGTTTTTCTGTTCACTTGCCTTGAGTTTTAGGGAAATCCCTCAGACGTCTGGGCTTTAGCTTTCTGAATCGCAAATATGTACTACATACCTGTACTCCATGGTTTGAGAAATGGCCATTCTAAAATGCCTGTGATCAAAGGTTGTGAAATTCGAGACATAATTCAGGTCAAGGAGAGTTCAGTATTTGGCAAGCAAAAAGTAGTCCTTCACCAGTCCTATCATGGGCCTTTCCTCCTCTGCGGAATTTTTGTTTTGTTTTGTTTTTGTTTGTTTGTTTGTTTGTTTTTAAAACTGCTCTGTGGGATTTTAACATTTGTCTGAATTTTAGGAGGCAGATGCTTAAAATGAAAAATTTTGTTTTCTCCCTTTTTATGAGCAAAACTGACTTTATTAGCTTTCAGAAATGGACGTTGGCACAGAATAGGGAATGATTGTTACTGAGAGGTAGACCCCCAAAATTTGGGGAGGATTCCATTTTATTTCAAGTAGCATAACTGTGACTGTACTTCCCTCGCTTTCTTGCTCTGTATACAAAGTAGCAAATGGTTAAAAGAAAGTTTTAGGTATGAAACATCAACATATGGGGAATAAATGATATTTCACTGTATATAGCAACTACTAAGAGGAATTCACTGAGACTCTAGAGGAAAACAACGAAGATAATAGAAAAATGGAAAATAGCCTCTCTTGGCCATTTAAAGTAAGGAGAGTTGACTTAGGTCAAAAGGAAGGGAAAAATGTCCTGAGAATGGAACTTAAGTGTTATAAGATGCCATTAAAGCTAGGTTGTGGAATCTCCTTACCTGGAAACGTTTGAAAACAAGTCAGATCATCATGTCTCAGGAGAAGTTCAGTGCTGCCTAGAGACAGGAAGATTAACTGGATTTCGCCTGTGTGGCCTCTCGAGTCACGGGAAAAGCCCTGAAATGCAGTAAATATCCCACACTCTTGTTGGCTGAAACTACTGTTCGTTGTAGCCTTGGTTACTGTAAGACCAGAGTGAATAAGTGTGTATAAGTAGCAAAATTTGAGTTTGGATTTGAGATTGATGATGCAAGCTGAGTACCTTGTATGTACCTGCGTCGGTGGTTAACAGTGTGCATGCAGGGCTGAAACTCTTCAGAACATAACTTAGTCTTTTTAGGATTTAGAAAGTACCTGCTTTCTTGCAAGGTCTCAGTACCATTAATCATTCAATAAGTAGCTATAAATAACTACTGTGAACACTGTAAGATACAAGTATGAATTGGGTATGGTTCCTGCCTTCAAGGAACTTCGTCTACCAGTGGAGGTAAAACATATGCATGGATCACCTACCCTGATAAATGGAAAACAGGTCACTGGTATAAGAGTGGCAAGAAAAAGGATTAAATAGCATTGTAAGATTTCAGGGAAGAGAGATAATTCCTTTGGATTTAACTGAGAAGTGTTTCCTGGCGGAAAATTGCGTCGAAGCGGGCCTTAAGAAATAGGAAGCATTTTGAAGGGTGTAAATGAAGAGGAGGACAAGGACGGGGTGGAATCGTTCCTCCCATTTCCAAGGTACAGACAAGTTCAGTGGAAGCATAAGGAAGCTGGGGGACAGGGGCTGGAAATGCCTCATTGTGGCCAGTATCAAATGCCAGGTCAAAGAGTTTGGGTTCTGTTTGCTCAGTGCTTGTAGTCCCTAGGAAATGATTAAGCACTAGAGGGTACCTGTCTGTGGGAGGTCTGTAATTTGCTGTTTGGACTGCCAGGGGAAAAGGCTATAACAGGGAGCCCAGGAAAGTGGCTGCTGAGTCCTCTGAGCCAGAGTTTGCCAAGGGGGTACACCGAGAAACAGTAGTTTCAAGGCATGTTAATAGGTGTTACTCAGGAAAGGGTCTCTTCACTAAAATGAACTGGAGAAATAAAAAATTAAGCATTTAAATGAGTTTCTTTGCTGGATAAATTTTCAGAACCTTTAATATTGGGAATTGCCTTGAGGAAACAGGCTAAAATGTACACCATTGGCAACACAGTTTAATCGTTTTTCATGGAATATCTCCTGAAACGACTGTTTCTTGGAGCACACTTTGGGGAGCATTGCCCTCTACATCTGCAAATGATGGCTGGAACATGAGTGGTGGTCATATGCATGGAAGCAGAAATTGGATGAGAATCCCAATGCAGGACGCATCAGCGTTTCCCAATACATAGTGGTCATTCCGTAACTCTACAGAAAACGAATAAACCCAAGAGTGAGTTATTGGTTTGGTAACAAGACTTGGCCCAAGATGGTATGCTGAAACAAAGAGAGAATGGAGTTCAAGGTGGGAATGTGGGGAGTTTGGAACTTTGGCTATAAATGGTACCATCACAGAAAGCTAGAAGGAGGTGATTAAAATGCAAGTTGATCACTTTCATGTTACTAGCAAAGCCTGGGAATCCAGCCAAGGGCTTCAGCAGATGCGGGAACTGTGGACTTGGGTGAGAAGTCATTGTTTTGGGTTTTTTTTTTTTTTTTCTTACTAAATGTATCATTAAAAATATTTTTTTGGTTAAGATGTCTCGTTGTTCCCATTCTGGATAAATAGCAACTTTCGTATGCAACTCACTCTAATACAGTAAGATAACCAACAGTTTAGTCCAAAAGAAGCTTTAGGATTAATAAAGCATTAAATCTATAGTGTTTTTTTCTAATCAGACAGTAGCAAGAACCCTCATGTTTATCAGCAAATCTTTTTTTTTTTTGTAGTCTGATTTACTCATAGAAGTTAATTAATCTTTAATAATTTGTTCTTTCATTCAGGTATTTGCCTTTGATTATTGCTTTTGGTCCATGGATGAATCTAATACTACAAAATATGCTGGTAAGTTGGCTCTCTCTCTTCACTTGATTTTTGGGCCTCAGTCCTCTTCGTCTGTTTTCTTTATTCGGCAGTTCTGTTTTTCCCCATAAAATTCACATTCATGGGGCGCCTGGGTGGCTCAGTCGTTAAGCGTCTGCCTTCCGCTCAGGTCATGATCCCAGGGTCCTGGGATCGAGCCCCGCATCAGGCTCCTCGCTCCGCAGGAAGCCTGCTTCTCCCTCTCACACTCTCCTTGCTTGTGTTCCCTCTCTCGCTGTCTCTCTCTCTGTCAAATAAATAAATAAAAATCTTTAAAAAAAAAAAAAATTCACACTCATTCTTTCCAGTTCTAGCACGTGGCTTTGAAGTCAACAAGATTTGATTTCAGGATCTGTCTGTGCCACTAATTTGCTAAGAAGTCATGGACGGGTTTTTTTATTTTTAAGCGCCAGGCTCTTTCCCTGTAAAGGGGGTATTAGTATCTTCAGAGGTGTTCCAACAGTTAGAAATACTGGGGCACCATCTCCAGCTAGAAATGGTAGCTGTTGGGATTACCACATGAAGAAGAGGTTTAATGTGCCATGTCATTCCTTGTCACTGTTTTGGAGATTCACTGTCCATTGATATGAGCAAAGCACAGATGCTGTTGGTTTCCACGACCCACTCACGTCCTGAATGTTCTAGTAGTCACTGTTGATACAAACTACACAATCACAGGGAAACATGACCTCCCAGCCCCACGTTTTGCTAGTGTTCCTTCCTTGAGGCATTGCATCCCCATTCCATTGAACACAGATGACTACTGATTTATTATTTGGTGAGTCTTGGTCCTTCCAAGGAGTTTATCACAATTGCTTTAGCTCAGGAGGGAAGCATTTCTGTTCGTGAAGGAAGTTTGATTACTACTCTTTTGATTGTGTCCCCATTTCCTTAGGTATTTAGTCTTTTTTTTTTTTTTAAGATTTTATTTATTTATTTGACAGAGAGAGACACAGCGAGAGAGGGAACACAAGCAGGGGGAGTGGGAGAGGGAGAAGCGGGCTTCCCACTGAGCAGGGAGCCCGATGCGGGGCTCGATCCCAGGACCCTGGGACCATGACCTGAGCGGAAGGCAGACGCTTAACGACTGAGCCACCCCGGCACCCCATTAGGTATTTAGTCTTTTTTTTTTTTTTTAAAGATTTTATTTATTTATTCATAAGCGACAGAGAGAGAGAGAGTCAGAGGGATAAGCAGGCTCCCCACTGAGCAGGGAGCCCGATGCGGGACTCGATCCCAGGACCCTGCTATCATGACCTGAGCCGAAGGCAGACGCTTAACCATCTGAGCCACCCAGGCGCCCTAGGTATTTAGTCTTAATGAATGTGTTCTCCTCATTTCTACTAAGAAGAACATCAGCTGAATGACTTTCTCATTTGCTTTTTAAAAAGAATAGTGAGGGATGGATGGAGAGGATGCAGGTCTTACAAGACTAGAAAGCAAAAGGAGATCACTTGCTTGTAGGGAATTTTATTTCCTGACAATGCTTTCCTTGCCACATAAAGCAAACTTCTTGAGAAATTATTCGATATACAATTTTTTCAAAAGTTAATCTGGAACTAGGGAAATTTCTTCTGTTGCTCACAGTGAGTAAATGAGCCTTTCTTTCCAAACATCATTCCTACACCTTTAGCAAATATATTTCATTGAAGTAAATAAGTACTTCTTAATGTTGGTTGTAGTCAATTTGTCTTTTTATTGGCCCATTAGCACTTTAGACAATAAATTCTACAGAGTCTAGAACAGTCTGCTTTGAGTGTTAGCCCAGTGTGTATTTTGGTGTTGGGTGTGTGCTTTTGGATTTATATAAACTACAAAAGTAAATGATTTCCTACTGTAACAGAAACAAATGCTGTGGCTATGCAGAGCTCACTCTTTGTTCAGCTGATGTTATTCAGGATACAGCCAGAGAGATGTTCCTGAAGTAGAACTCTACTCAAGGACTCCTCACCACTTAGAGAGAAAATCTATTCTCCTTGGACTACATGTAGGGTCCTTTATTATATATCCTCCATCTACCTTCCTCACCCTCTGCTCCGTGACTCCCACCTGGCCCAGGGCTGTTCCTCTTCTATAACCCAGGGAGCCAGCAGGTCTCAGAATGGTTCCTTAAGGATCCACAAAACCCCTACTGTGTGTGCAGCCTCGGAAAGCCCTTGAGAAATCAAAAAGTTGGGTGGAAAGCAAAAGTGTGCATAACAAACAACAGTAAACATTTTGAGATAATACTGAGTTAAACTGTCTGTTTTATAGATTTTGAGTGCTATAGAAAACCCAAGGAAGGACAAAATCCGGAAGGGCTGAACAGAATTCTGAAGTCTAAACTGAGCTTAGTGTAAACTGATTATTGGTTGACTGATATGGTGCAGAACGGGCTACTGCATGATGTGGTTAAAATAATGCTTCAGGGAGGTTGTTTTTCTTTGTCGTGTCTTCTAGAATCACATTCTCCCTTATTGTCCACAGAGACCATTCTGGTCTTCTGCACTGTATCAACACATATCCCTGAATATAGGACAAACTTTTTTTTTTTTTAAGATTTTATTTATTTATTTGAAAGAGAGAGCACAGAGGGAGAGGGAGAAGCAGACTCCCCACTGAGCAGGGATCCCAATGCAGGACTCATCCCAGGACTTCAAGATCATGACTTGAGCCAAGGGCAGACACTTAGCTGACTGAGCCACCCAGGTGCCCCAGAACAAACTTTTTTTTTTTAAATGGGAAATAACTTCATTTAAAGTACAGATAATAAAATTGACATGTGAAACTAAAGATTTCTGGAGCTCTGCGTTACAAATTAGTATGTTCAGAAATATTTAAAAAGATAAAAATGATTTTTAAACTTACTGAGAGCCTAATAAATTTACTACTTTTAATTTGCATGATCACATCAAATAGCATGTTCCATTCAGCCCTGAAATACAGCACTCTCTCGGCTCATAGAGCAATGTCTATTTACAAAACGTGGGGAGAAATTCTTATTCTTTAGACAGCCCTATTACTGTGCAAATCCAATGACCACCTTAGCAAAAAGTGAAATTCTTGCTAGCTATTCTCAGGTTTGTTTGTATCCATTGTAAATAAGCTGCCTACTAAGTATATTACTGGTAGATTTGTTGATTGGTTTCATACTAACTTGATTTCCCTTCTCTTCATTAAAAAAGAAGTTGCAATTCCTTCTTAATGGTGAATAGAAACATTAAGATAGAAGCCTTCATTCTCTGATGGGAAGTAGAGGAAATGGAAAAGGGGGAGCATGGATTTCCTGAAACCGACCTATTTGTCAGGCTCAGTGAATAATGGAATCATTGATACTGACGAAGAGCTCTCTAGGCGGCTCTCAAAACTTGGGGGGCAGAGAGAAGGAGGGGTAGCGGAGAGAGACTTGAAAGCACAGGGATTGAGGGAGCCAAGGGAGGCAGGGCGCTGAGTTTCATGTGGTGTGTCAGAATGTTCCGTTTGACTATTTGTTAAAAGTGACCGCAGCACCCTTCGCTCTCAAGCTGTCCCACGTAGAAATACGCAAGTCTGTAGCATGTTGGATGGCACAGCAGCGGGCTTTTGGAGTGCTGGGAGGGAGAATGTGGGCTCCGACGTCAGACCGCCCGGGGAGCCACCGAATCTCACTGCCCCTCTGTTTCCTCACATGTTAAATGAGGATGATAATCATTCCATCTCCTAGGGTTGATTTGATGACCAAATGACCTGTCCGCGGAAAGTACGTAAGCCACTCACTATTTACCGTCTTTGTCGTGGTCACGTTGTCACAGTCCTGAGGGTAATACCGTCAGCTCTGTGGAAAGAGAACGCACTGGAATTGACGAGACTCAGTTTTGCCACCAGCTGCTCACCTTGGGGGATCTGTTTCCTCATCTGTGGGAGGAGGAGACATGGCCCAGGGTGATCTCAGACCCCCTCTCGCTCTCTGATAAAGCATGAATCAGACACTTTATGTTGGCCACACAGCTGTTGTAATGGACTTTTCAGAGGCAAGTCAAAGACTTGTTTGTTAAGCGGTTTGAATTGCCCTGAATCAGGCTCTGAGACGTTTTACATTTTAACTGTATTTATTTCTTATTATAACCTTTGGGTTAGGTAGGCATAATAATGCTTGTCTGGCAGATAAGTCTGAGTCTTTAAAGCAAAAACGCTTGTGCCAGGATGAAGAAAACAAAAACAAAACAAGTAACCTGCAAAAATGAGGGACCCAAAGCTTGGCGTATTTCTACGTAAACTCTCATCTTCCCTGCATGGATCTTCATACACACAGACGTAGATCCACATTTAGGACTATAAAGCTATTGTAGTGAACACTGACCACACTTGAGAGTGTCATACAGATAATAGATCTTTGTAAATGGTTAAATCACTGCCGATTATAACTGAGGCCTTCTTGATAATGAATCAGTCCATGATTCATCACTGCCTAAAATGTGCCATGTTGGTAAATAACAGTGACTTCCAGTCCCCTTGGTTTCAGTTTTCTTCCTAGTGGGGGAGTATTTTTCACAAACCTATTTTTCTATAGATCTTCATGCCAAAAATTAAAACCAATCTGGTGAGGGCCGCCTGGCTGGCTCTGTCGGTAGAGCACGCGAATCTTGATCTTGGGGTTGTAAGTTCGAACCCCATGTTGGGCATAGAGATTACTAAAAAAAGTCTGTAACCGACTGAGCCACCCAGGCACCCCAAAAATAAAATCTTAAACCTGTCTTGGGGTGGCATATCTGGGGATCAGTGCGGATATGAACATTTCCAGGCCCAGAGCTTCTAAACTATTGCCTTAGAAATTATATAACAATTTTCACCATATGGCGTGTTGCTCAAACTTGCTGAAGCCGTGTGTTTTCAGGCATTGTTAATGCCCTGCAGTTCAGGAGAAAGGTTATATATATGTCTGATTCTTGTTCTGCTCACGTAGCTTTGTGCTGTGTGCATCCGAGCCGTGAGCTGTTGCCGTGTTTGATTCTGTTCCCATGATG